GCCCCTGATTGACTTTTTTTTACAGACAAATGTTTTACACCACATACAGTGCTCGTTGACACACAGTGCCTTCAAATAACCTGGCAATATGTGTCAAAGAAGAATGTTTTAATTTGATAACAACAGTGAATAAAATTATCTCCATTTCAGGGTACAATCACATTACCTCCAGGTATTGTACCAGGACAGGGGGCGGTACTCATGAAAAATGAGCAAGGGCAGATTGTGATAGTCCAGCCTGGCTCACTTCCAGGCCATAATCCAGTTTCTTCAGTAACGATCTCAAGCAGTACAACACAACAGAAAGTTCAGTATGTTAGGGTAAGTCTCTTCAACCTTGACAAATATGAACAACATTGTTATGGTGTGTGACTTGACAAGTCTTAGTACATGTTTGTTAAGTTTTTACGTCGATATTTACATGTTTTGTGGTCATATCTGAGCAGTGGATCCCAGACTTCCCGAAATACGTCGGTCCGACGGACATGTCCGATAAATTTTGATCAGGTCCGACGAGTTTTTACTCCGGATCGGTCCGACTGTCCGGCTTTTATCCAAGCCGCATGTATACAAAATGGCGTCGCTAAAGGTGACAAACCTTGGAAAAATTAAAAATCTACGTCAGAGGAACAGGCAGAACAGCAGTAAAAGGATAAAAAGAATGACTAAAGAGGAAGTCGACCTAACTTTATGTTTTACGTGTACATGTAGGCATTAGAGGGACATGGATGTACTGTCCATCTACAGATCTCTCAAATTACTGACGCGATTCTAATTGTAATTTACACAAATATTGTCGATTATCAACTACGTTACTTTCACGATATAGTTTATTAACATCATTTTTCTATGATTGTTATTTTCATGAACAACATATTTCTATAATTTGTTATTTTCACGAACATAACTAATTAACAACGAGTTTCTGTTATTGTTATATATATTTATTAACAACGATTTTATGTGAATGCTTACGAGCAAGTGTTTGCTAAAGTCACTCTCGATAAAAACAAAACTCTTATCATTGGTTCCATCTACAGACCACCAAACAGTGACGAAACATATACTGAAGAACTATGTTCTACAATAGAAAACATAAAGAATCGTTACAAAAATGCAGTAATATGGATAGGTGGAGACCTAAACCTACCTGACATCAACTGGACCATCAACACAGTAGAAGGTAACCAGAATTCCAACAGGATCAACAAAAAGATCCTTGAAGTTGTTGAATCCTGCAATCTTCACCAGATGGGCACTCAGCCAACAAGAAAAGACAACATTCTGGATGTTTTCCTCACAAATCGTCCTACTCTTACAACGCGCAGTACAACTCTGCCAGGACTAGGTGACCATGACATAGTCATCATTGAATCCAGTGCATCGGCTAAAAGATCAAAACCAGTCAAAAGACTTATACATCTATGGAAAAATGCAGATATAGACCAACTGAAAAGCAAATGTCACCAATTTCAACAACACTTTAAAGAAACTTACACAACAATTAGCCATATCAACACTATGTGGGCAGACATAAAAGACAATCTCCTGAAAGTCCTGGACTCCTGTGTGCCATCCAAGATGAGCAGCTCTAGATTTAGCCAGCCATGGATAAACAAAGACATCAAACAGTTGAGTCGAAGGAAAAAGAGAGCATATGCCCGTGCAAAATCAACCAAGTCTCATAAAAGCATAAAACGATATGAAGATCTCAAGAAAAAATCTAGACTGGCATGTCAAGAAGCCTACAATGAGTATGTCAACAATATTGTCAGTCCAGAGTCTGCCTCTAATCCCAAAAGGTTCTATAGTTTCATTAAAAGCAAGAAAACAGATAGTCAGGGAGTAGCACCACTGAAAGCAAAAACGGGCATGACTTCACTCCGACAGCGACACAAAGGCCAATATCCTGAATGAGCAGTTCTCTCTTCAGTTTTTCAACAAGGATGAAGACATCTCAACTATTCCTGATATGGGACCAAGCCCACATGATCCGGTTGAACATATTACAATCACAGAGAGCGGAGTACAGAAGATCTTTGCAGGACTTAATCCACACAAGGCTACAGGTCCAGATCAACTCCCAGCAAGACTTCTAAAGGAAGCAGCTACAGAACTTACTCCTGTATTTACACTGTTCTTCCAGGCATCTGTGGACCAAGGAATCATCCCTGACGACTGGAAAACTGCCAACGTGGTACCAATTTTCAAGAAGGGCGACCGCAGTAAAGCAGAGAACTACAGACCTGTCCTCTCTTACTTCCATAGCATGTAAGGCACTTGAGCACATCGTTACAAAGCACCATTATGAAACACCTTGACACCTACAACATACTTACAGATACCCAGCATGGATTTTGTAAACGCAGATCCTGTGAGACTCAACTTTTACTGACAGTCCAGGACCTTGCTTGCAATATGGACTCTGCTGGTCAGACTGATGTCATTTTATTAGATTTTCCAAAGCTTTCGACAAGGTCCCACACCACCGATTACTTACAAACTTCAATTCTATGGTATACGAAACAACCTACTAAAGTGGATAAACAGCTTCCTAGGGGATCGGAGCCAGAGAGTGTTACTAGACGGCAGCAAATCAGGTGAAGCACCTGTCCAGTCAGGTGTCCCACAAGGCAGTGTTCTAGGACCTCTCTTATTTCTCATCTTCATTAATGATCTACCCAACTATGTATCACCTGAATCCACCACTAGAATGTTTGCTGACGACTGTGCCCTTTACCGCTCTATCCACTCAGACCAAGATGCTATAGCCCTACAAAAAGACCTAGATGGACTACAAAGATGGGAAAGGGATTGGTTGATGGAATTCCACCCTCAAAAATGCCAGATACTCCACATAACAAACAAGAGAAAACCAATCAGACAACCATATAACATCCATGGACACATCTTAGAAGAAGTAGATACAGCAAAATATTTAGGCCTCAACTTCCAAAAGTCACTAAACTGGAACCATCACATTGATCTAACTACAAAGAAAGCCAACAATGCCACATCCTTTCTACAGAGAAACATCAATCAATGCCCAAGAAGGACCAAAGAGCTCTGCTATATGACCCTCGTGAGACCTCTGGTGGAATACTCCTCTATCATCTGGGACCCTTTCACTGAGGCAAATATCTGGAAACTGGAGATGGTGCAGCGCCGAGCAGCAAGAATGGTCTTCTCAGACTACAGAAGAACCAGCAGTGTGACATCGATGCTGCAACACCTACAGTGGCCTACCCTCCGAGAACGCAGAGCCATGCCAAGGTGACCATGATGTACCGTATAGTAAATGGCCTAGTAGAAGTCCCTACATCCAACCTCACCCCAGTCATCTCTGTTCGAGGAACATGGACTTCACTACCTGGTACCATTTGCAAGGACCCAATGCTACCAGCGATCCTTCTTCCCAGACACCATCCGCCTCTGGAACAGTCTTCCCCAGACAGTTTTAAGCTGTACAACCATAGACAGCTTCAAGAGGGAAGTACTCCCACTCACTCTCCGATAGACAGTCCGGTGTTTTTACCTTTTTACCAGCACTATATATAGTACTTTTTTAAATCACTCTTGTACATAGACACTTCTCACACCGCGCTGCGCTAGTACGAGTATACGCCGGAAGGTGTCTGTATTATATTGGAAGAAGAAGAGTATTTTTTTTATTTTTAGGACTTTTTCTGGTTGTTATTTTCACGAAGATGATTTATAATTAGCAACAATACTTAACCACAATTATAACTCAGCATATATTGGTATTTATTTGTAATCATTTTGTAGAGATGACATAAGAATAAGCAAAAACACTGACAGGAAAGTTGCAATTGATGACTTTCCAAGCGACAGCCCGTGTGACAGGTATTTGAATGTTGGAAATTTATTTGGAAGAGACACATATGTCCGTTTGACACGTCAGTGTGAGTATGTTTTCACCTCGATGATTGAACTTTTCGATGGATTTCAAACCATAGAGGCAAGTATTTTATTTCCTTTAAAAATTATTTTATTTACATTATAATTTAAAGGTATTTATTAGTTATTGTTAAAGAATGACTTTTTAATGATAGTTTGGTAATATTAGGTACTTTATGTTCAAAATTCTATACGAGAGTTTCACGAAAGTTACAAGTAAATAAAAAATACATGTCGTTAAATTCTGAAGAATTCTGCATGAAATAGTAATTTAGTAAATAAATGTTGCATAACATGTTAAGATTATCTGTAATGCCCATTACAGGAATACGTGACACATTGGTTTAATAGAAGGAAGATGCGAAAGCTTGGGTTTTTGGTGACCGTTGGTGTGTATTCGCATGGTATCATTATCAATGAAGATGGAAGTGTCAGTTTGTTTGACTCCCATGGACAGCTGAAATACGAAGGAAAAGTGATCACGTCTTTGGCCGGAGCTTTGAATTTTCCTTCGGTCAAAGAGCTTGCTGTTTTTTTATAAGTATGTATGGTGAGGGCAGAAGCGCTGCAATTGCTCTGGTCAGTGTGCGTTCCCCCGGATCATCTCACAGAGGGGTTTGCAAGAATGCCACTGATCATGAGCAAGCTGAGTTTGGTTATCAACCATTCTGCATGAAAGCAACTGACACTTCGGCGAGCTATATCCTGCCAGAAATCCAAGTAGAAGGCGAGAGCGTAAATGAGAATGTGAAAGTATTGGAGGAAGATGATGTGTCACCGTATGTTATGCTTTTAGGAGGTGGGACATAGAGGTAATTGATTTATTCTTGTATATGTATATAAACTCTGCATAGTTTTCAGCTTAAGCATAGTTTTGTTAACTTCATAGAAGAGAAGAAAAGAAATTATAAAGGAGTATATTTTTGTTAGAATTTATTTTGATATATGCATGATTACAATATTATTTACAAATCATAATTTTGATTTAACAGCGCAGGGCCGAGTGAGATGGAGGAGGGAGGAGACGGAGGAGGGAGGGGCTAGCAAGTTCTGTCAGGATGAATAAATGGTATGTACAATAAAGAGATGGTCTTTGGCTTTCAGCGTTCAATCATACACAAATAGTCTATATTTAAATAATTAGTCTATATTTTACATATTTTTTTTATAAAAAATATTAAAAATAATATATGTTATAGATCTACATGCATGAGTACAATATAATTTACGAATTATAATTTTGATTTAACAGTGCAGGAGGAGGGAGGGGTTAGCAAGTTCTGCCGGAATGAATAAATGGTATGTACAATAATGAGATGGTCCTTGGCTTTCAGCGTTCATCATACACAAATAGTCTATATTAAGATACCCAGTCTATATTTAGATAATTGGTCTATTTTTTAGATATTTTTTTTTTATAAAAAAAAACAGTCATCGAATTTAGCACTGGCCCGGTGGCCCATGGTCAGTGAAAATTAGTCCGGGCCAGTGAAAATTTTAAGAAAATTTAGTTAAATATATAGTAGAATTCAAAATCTTAAATTCATTGACTGAAAAAATAATATATGTTATAGATCTACATGCATGAGTACAATATCATTTACAAATTATAATTTTAATTTAACAGTGCAGGACCGAGTGAGATGGAGGAGGGAGGGGCTAGCAAGTTCTGCCAGGATGAATAAATGGTATGTACAATAAAGAGATGGTCTTTGGCTTTCAGCGTTCAATCATACACAAATAGTCTATATTTAGATACCTAGTCTATATTTAGATAACTAGTCTATATTTAGATACCCAGTCTATATTTAGATACCTAGTCTTTATTTAGATAACTAGTCTATATTTAGATACCCAGTCTATATTTGGATACCTAGTCTATATTTAGATAACTAGTATATATTTTAGATATTTTTTATAAAAAAATAATTTATCACACACCCATGCCGATTTTGCGACTCCGTAAATATGGTATTGCACGGCCGTGCATATATTTTGATGTGACGTCCATTAGCGTTATACAAACATAGTGTAAAAACGCGCTAAATGTTAGCGTTATACTATAGGCGTGTCAATGAAAAATGACTCTTATTTCACTTTAAATGGTCTTTATTTTGGGTATGTGATAAATAGAATATTAAATTCGTGTTAGTTCATAACTGAATTTATTGCACTCGTTGAATAAAATAATATTATGCTCGCCAGAGGCTCGCATAATATAATTTTATTCAACTCGTGCAATAACTTCAGTATTGAACTTACACTCATTCAATATCCTCTATATATGATATAGATCTATATGCATGAGTACAATATTATTTACAAATTACAATTTTGATTTCACAGCGCAGGGCCGAGTGAGACGGATGAGGGAGGGGCTAGCAAGTTCTGTCGTGATGAATAAATGGTATGTACAATAAAGAGATGGTCCTTGGCTTTCAGCGTTCAATCATACAATCTATCTATACACAAATAGTCTATATTTAGATAACTAGTCTTTATTTAGATAACTAGTCTATATTTAGATAACTAGTCTATATTTTGATAATTAGTCTGTATTTTTGATATTTTTTATAAAAATATAAATGGGTGGCGGAAGGTTCCCTTTGTGGCGGTTTTTACCTCCCAGTTTGGTTATTTCGATACAAATATGTACATGCCATGTTTGTTATTATGTAACATTTTTCATGTTTGTTATTATGTAACATTTGTCATTTATGGCATTTAATAAATGCCCTATTTCATTCAACCTAAGTGTTGTGTTTTATCTCATACCAAACAAGTTCGTCTTGCCAGTTATATTTGCTTGACCTGGACAATACATAAAATAGATTTTATGCCCACATAAAATAATTTATGTCATTGTTCTGTCCCTATACTCATTACTGTACAGAATATTACGGGTCAGGTTTTTAGCCGTTACGGGTCAGGTTTTAGCCAAGTACGTCTTAGCCAATCGATATCAAGACTTAAATCATGTGATGTTAATTAACCAATGATTACATTAGATCTATCACAAAGAAATAATTTTGGCGAGGAATGATTCTCGCCTTTCTGTTTACTAAAATCCACCTCCTCCAACTCCATCCTCCTCTTTTCAATTTTTGATGTTGATATATAAATACCATTTCATTTATTCTTAATGAATCAGTTGTTTCACTTATTGTTTATCTCAATTATTTGTGCAACTATTCATGAGATACACTATATATATATATAATATTATGTATATTGTTCATGCAAAGATTTATAAAACTAGTCGATGTTATATTATCTCTTTCAAATATTTTTCTATTTGTTGTCATAAATACTTATGATCTAGTCATATGTTATACACTTTTTAATGTATAGAATGTTTAAACTATTCCAAGGATGGAGCCCTACATCAAGTGGTACTAGGCACAAGATAAAAGGGCACAGGTTTCCAAACTATGGTTTTTCCTGGGCGAGTCGACCACGATTTGGAAAATATTTATTTTTTCTGGTCAATTGTTTTTGATCAGCAATCCATTTTATTATATTTATGTAGATGGTTTTTGGTTCAACTTTGTCATCTTACATAACTTTTGTTAAGATTGTAATCTATTTGAATTACATTACAATGTTATCATAATCTGGCGGTTTTTACCTCCCAGTTTGGTTATTTCGATACAAATATGTACATGCCATGTTTGTTATTATGTAACATTTTTCATGTTTGTTATTATGTAACATTTGTCATTTATGGCATTTAATAAATGCCCTATTTCATTCAACCTAAGTGTTGTGTTTTATCTCATACCAAACAAGTTCGTCTTGCCAGTTATATTTGCTTGACCTGGACAATACATAAATGCTATAGATCTATGCATGAATACAATATTATTTACACATCATTATTTTGATTTAACAGCGCAGGGCCGAGTTAGACGGAGGAGGGAGGGGCTAGCTAGTTCTGTCGGGATGAAAAAATGGTATGTACAATTAAAAGATGGTCCATCACATATATCATTTGGCTTTCAGTGTGAAATCTTCAAAATACAATCTATACACAAATAGACTATGTAAATGATAGAGCTACCTCTTTCGGAGGTATACGGTAAATCGCTCTATCGCTACTTCCGAGCTAGTGCATGTCGTTGAAATGGACAGTTTCATCATGAAACTGATTATTTTCCCTCCCATTTTCATGTAAACAGCAATTCAGATTAAAAACAAATATGTTTCAAGCAGATATAAGGTCTAGAAATGAAACAGTTTCAAGCAGATATAAGGTCTAGAAATGAAATAATACCATTATATTCAAAACAAGCCTTGGTTACACTGGATATGTAAAAAAAGTAAAAAAGTAAGCAAGGACGTACTGACCTAAATGATATGCTAAAGAACTTAATATCTCTCTATCTCTCAAAGAGTAAAATTACTGTTATAAATGTCTTAACAAGCAAAATATTCGTTCTTTTAATATAGGATACGAGAGGACAGAATGCGGGTAGAAAGATATGTCGAGAATGTTGTCCCGAATTACTCTGACATAAGTTTTCAAAGGCATTTCCGACTGTCTCGTGATACTTTCAACATAGTTCATGATCAATTAAAAGAATGTCAAGAGTTTGTTGTACAAGCTCGCCAGCAGTTCCAGTCGCTAAACAGTTAATGATCACCTTGTGGTACTAAGTGACACACGATACAATACATCGTCTGTCAGATAGGTTCTGGGTTTCAGAAGATACCATCCTGAACTCCCGGGACTCTGTTATTGCACCAGTTAAAAGACATTTGAGAACAAAAATTATAAGCTGGCCAACACAGCAAGAAAAACAAGTCATTAAAGATCATTATGAAAGAAAAAATGGGTTCCCCAATATTATTGGGAGTTTAGATGGCACACACATTAGAATAAGTGCTCCAAGAGAGAACCAAAAATCATACATAAATCGCAAAGGATTCCATTCTATTCAACTGCAGGCTGTCTGTAGAGAAGATTTAACATTTACTTACTGTTTTACCAGTTTCCTCGGGCGTGTTCATGATTCAAGAGTATTGAACAAATTCTGATTTAGGGGATCATGGACAAGAGCTATGCGGAGATGACCATATCTTAGCTGATGGTGGATATCCATTACAGACATGGTTATTAACACCCTACTGGGACAATGGATTTTTTAACCTTTAACCAGAGACATTTCAACTTCTTGCTGTCTTCAAATCGAGTGTCCATAGAACGAGCCTTTAGGCTTTTAAAGGGTAGATTTCCGCGCCTTACAAGCTTGGTTGTGAATAGGGTAGAGACAGTTGTGGACATTATTATGGCTTGTTGTGTTTTGCATAATGTTTGCATTCAGCAATCCGATATTAAAGATGAATTTATGCAAAGAGACAATGCTCCTGTCAGATTAAATGTTGGTCATGGAATTCAACCTCCTGCAGAGGGTATTCTGAAAAGGGATAACATTGCAGCCAACTTACAGTAAAAAGAACAACTGAAATGTGTAGATTTTCTTAACTTTATTTGGTGTACAGTATGTGTAAATACGGAATATGAATTCATATACGCGAATATGAACGAGAGATTATTTTCATAAAATCAGCTCTTCTGAGACTATTTTCGTCAACAGATACTATTTATACTTTTCTTGTATCGTATGTCTTTGAGTGAAAGAAAATAAATTTCTAATATTGTTTTGGTTGTAAATTAATTACTGTGACCAGGAAGATACCGAGTATGAACGAGAATAACAAACATGAACGTTATTATTTATATATAAAATAGCTCACAAAAGTATAGAAATAGAACTTTTAATTAAACTATATCTATCATTATTTACTTGCATCATGTCTTTGAATAAAATTTTATGAATTTAATGTACTGGTTGCAAATTGTTGTGACCGTTGTAAACGGTCAGAAATGCCTTATAATCATTTTCTAAAGACAAAAAAGAAGCATATATGCTATAAGATAAATCTTTTACTATATGCTGCTGAAATATGAAGTTAGCAGCCTATCCCGTACAATGAAGCTCATTTTATAAATTGCGGAATCAGACAAATCCAATACATGACAGTATACAGTATAAAATAAATACGTGCATTTGTAATTAGAATTCATAATAACAAAGATGTCACAACTTGGCAGATTCAACATTTCTTATTAACAAGTCCTATAATAAAGTGATAATGTACGTGATTTACGCTTTCCCTGAAATATCGACGCTGCACGTGAAAAAAGTCAGCGTAGGATATTGTTTCTAAACTTCCATTAGTATAAATCATTAAAAAATGACAAACAGAGAAAACAATTTTCCATTTATTGAAAAAAGAAACCACTGAAATTCTATCTAAGGGAGGGAACTACGTGGGCTTTATGTCTGTTAATGTTTACGGATTGTCTTTCCCAATGGTTTAATTTTAATGTTAAGGAGTGTTAGACTAGCAGTCAAATCTCATTTTCTCGACAGAGACCAACTTGGTTTTAAGATTATTTTCCTAAAAGCCTTTTCATCCCATTAAGGAGGTGTATGTATACGTTGTTTAATGGCAGTGGTGTTTTTTAAAAACATTTTTTTTTCTTCTTTTTTCTTCTTTCTCTAATTAATTAATTTATTTATTTATTTATTTATTTATTAATTAGTTAATTTATTTATTTATTTACTTATTGTTTCTTTGAATGAAGGAGACAATCTTAAAACAAGAAACACTGTTACACAATGTGACTAGTTGATCAGAAAGTGGCAGATAGCCCGTCTCCCTATACTATAGTACATTGATTATTAACTATATAATCAGCCTACTAATTAACATGACTGGTATGTAATCGTGAAACAGAAGACCTATATATATATTTATCTGATACATTACATCAAACCTTACAGACGATGACGTATGAAAGTTAGTTCTTTTTAATACGTTCCATTCTCCAATGAGTATCGTGAGCAGTTGAGCATTTTACATTTCTTAAATCATAGAAATGAAATAGTACAAAACGTAGTGCTCAAGCAAGAAACAAATTTGAGCCGCGTCACGACAAAACCAACATAATGGGTTTGCGACCAGCATGGATCCATTATGTTGATTTTGTCATGACACGGCTCATTTAAGTTCTTATTTCACTCAGTCTGATTTTTTTAACCAAATATCGTTTAAAGCAAACTTCATGGCGGTATTAATTTTTGGTGCAATTTGAAATGTACATTCCATTTATAGATCCGTATATAAATTAAGCTGTACAAGAGAATCGCTGTCAGAAAGCCACTTAAAAGATCGTCACTCCATGGGTTAAGCTTTCAATAACGCCTACAGAAACTGCCTTGGTCCTGTTCAATCCTAGAATTTTACGTGTCTGATTTCCTAACAAACTAATAGACAAAATAGTGCGATATTAGTATAACTTCAATTTTATGACAAAAGAAAGCCATATAAAAAGGATATAAAGTTTCAAGAAAAAGAAATATACCATGGAAGTAGAACTAAATTATTAAACATTTTATGAATTCATGTTTTGAACTTCACGATTTAAGCTTCACAAATTCATCTTGACGAATTCATGATTTTAATTTCATGAATTCATGAAGTTGAAATCGTAATGTTCAAAACATGAATTCATGAAGTTAAATTCATGGTGTTGAAATGTCCCAACCGGTCATTCGTAGTTATGTGATATTTTCAGCATTGAATTGATGAACTTCGTTTGGTTTCAAATTACGTTCACTGTGTGTCATTTAAATTTGTATCTTCGCTTAGTAATTTTTCTATCTTGAACAAATATGAGAAAAATGAAATTTTAAAGGCATATAATACTGTTGCATAGACATATACCGTAAGATAAATTGAAATCTTTAGTCTCGCGGTCAACATAGAGTTGAAAGGACTTGTTTTTTTGTTGTTTTTTTCTTAATCTAATCATCGTCTTTCAACACAAACTTTTCCCATTGCCATAACAAACGACGTTGTCCGTGTAGGCTGTAAAATGTGTCATAAATTCCTACAAAGAAATTGATTGTAGCATGTGACTTATTTTGATAATGATAAAGTGCACTCTTATTTTGATATTGTAAAAGTGCATATAAAATTTGACCTTACGACATGTACGAGGAGTGTTGAAATATGAATGTAACTAGGCCAATATCTTATTGCACGAACTATGAAAAAGAAATCGTATAGATGGTTGTGTAAGCTCTCACTTGATAAGTCAGTTCAGTCTAGCTGATTTACGCCATCTAGTCATGTATACTAAAGCTAAAATGGTCGGGAAAAGGTCTCCTTTCAGTGACCAAATACGGTCCTATATCAAGAACCGCTGTATTCTTGGTATAAAGGCGAAAAACATATATTTAATGAAATATGTCATGTTTATGGGAACAGTGATTTTCTTTTTCGTCTGTCACACGGTGGTATGCGAAATTTAAAAGTGGCATGCACCTCGGGCACACAGTCCGAAAACTGCAACTTTGCCAAAAATGGTTTAAAAAGTAAAAGATTTGATTGCTACTGATGCAAGATTTATTTTGATAATACTTGTTCATATTATAATGGAACAAAAAAAAACTTTCCTCTCACCAGTTAATTTATTTTGGTTCAGTTGCATAGGAAGCCTCAAACTTCGAGACACACGTTTGATTCCATATAAAGCAATAAGTATAAAATGCCTTGCCCACGGTCAATAATTATTACACCTCCAGTCCGATAATCTTTTTGTTTCATTTGCTTATACATTCGACTGTCATATTGACCCTGATGTTATATTATATTTTATTTCATTAACAGTGCATGTAATCTTATATGGAAACATTTTGTCTAGGATGGCCACATATATCATGTTACATGATGTTACATCATGATCAATATGAGCCGTATTACACTCAGATTATATTGTACTACAAATATAATTTTGATATTCAATTACCAGTTCCATATTGGGAGTGGTACATGAAAGTCATCGAGTGTGTTTTATTTATCTTAATGTACTTTGCAAATGTCCATAAAATTTACATTTTTACCTATATGCTACATAATAATACGGACGGACAGACGGACGGACTTACTTGGATGGATAGAGGTTATGGGGTTGCTCCTTGCAGTTCCTTTTTGTCTTATTGAACCTCGTTATCCAACAAGTTAGAATTACAGTACAGATGTTGTAAAGATGTACACAGACCAGTTTCACGCTAATTTTCGAGATTTTTTTTAAATGTATTTGAAAAAGCAATAAATTATTACAAATGAACAAAGATAGTATTTTACACATTTCAAATAGCATTAACAAAATCTACGTATATTACCAAATTGGGGTCAAAATATGCAAAAATTTCCCTTCCTGTGTTAGTCGCGCAGTAGAAATATTGTGATTGATTCTGCAAATCAGTCATTAATCGCACATTACATGTAAATTATTACTTTCATCTTGCATCTGTTTTCATTTCTTAAAACTTAAGTACATTTTCATGTTTAATTTTCTTGAAATATTTGGCTCATCTAGATGCATGCAGTAAAGTAACTAAAATAATTTCTTTCATAGTGACATTTTGTCTTTGTCCTCCTCCATTTCGTTTCGTGTTTTTCACCAATCTTTTTCCCTTATTACGACTTGTATCTGTAACATTACTTCGTACATATATTTTCAACCGTACCTTACGTACGACAATGCCATGAACTGTGAACATGTGAACTGTTATAACTGGAAGAACACACTTGTAAGCTTGTATATAGTTATTTGCCTCATCCCATTTCCATGTCAAATTAATTAACGTTTCAACATTCAATTCTTCTAAATAATCTAATGAATGTTTCTTATTTTCTTATTTGTGTGTTATAGTATTAGTTATAAAGATCGTTGACAGGTTATATGGCCCTATATATAAACGGCTATTTGTAAATATAACCCGAGCCGTTAGGCGAGAGTTATATTGCAAACAGCCGTTTATATACGGCCATATAACCTGTCAACAATCTTTATTACGAATTTATGATAAAGCAAGCATCATTTTTAGAGAAAAAAGTAAGATTTCTTCATGAATCGACAGCAGCCGTGTATATAAAACTATACAAACGTCACGTTATCCTTACAAACGTGCAGTATTATAAAAAACAACAACAGGGAACTGTACGTATGTAGGCAAGTAAAAGCTAAAATTCAGAGGGCTTGGCGTTAGAATAATCAAAACTGGGTTGATAAACTAACAACAAAGATCTAGCTTTTTTCAAACGTAATAAGTTTATTTATTATATATTTGTTTTGTACGTTTCTGACTGTGTAAATGGGTAATTGATAATAAGATGCTACATATATAATTTACTGTATAATGAATATGTAATAAATAAAGTGTTAAATAAATAAGATATTATTATATATATATCACAAAAATCATATATTAGATACTGTATTAGAGCGTATCTCATTTCGGTAAAAAAAGTGTTCTAATGCATTCAGAAAAAATGCTGCAGATTTGTTTAGCTAACTATACCTTCTTTTTTCTTCTTTTTTTTCAAGCACTAATATATACTATGAGTTCATTTGAAGTGCTGATATTATGCTTAACGTTTTGTTGAAATATCCAAACGTAAATATCCTTCATATGATTAGAATATAATTTCCTTAAAGGCAATTAAAACATTTTTATCTCCTAAAAAAAAGGAAAACATGTGTTTAATACCGTTTTAGAAATGGATTAAGATCATGTTAGAGGCATATCGCGTAGAGAAATTAATGCCAGGCATGAAATAATTTGTCATAAAAGTAGCAAAGTGTAAATAAAGTGGTATTTTGACTTCTAAATGAAATACTAATTAATACACTATATCTGTATTAAATGCCAAAATGCAAAAGAAACAAAAGATGGTTCCACTATATGGTTTTAAAGTTGTTTGGAAACAATAACAGAATATGAAAAAGTTGAATGGTTTCAACTTATAATAACAGAATATGAAAAAGTTGAATGGTTTGCTACTTGAAAAATATCATTTTTGGAGCTTAATGCGCCTTAAAGATGTCGAATTTCATTCTATCAAGTTTACACTTAGCTAAATCTCTTAAAAAAGAGCAAAATAGAATTACTTTGCGGCACTATGAAGTGTCCTGTGGAAGAGTTCCATGATATGGACTGGCCAGTGTAGAAACAATATCTTGAATTTGTACCTCGAAAAATGCAATGAATTGAGAAAAAAAATATTATTGTGAGAAAATATCACGTTCTAGAGAGATATGTTAACAGTATTCATCTTTAAAAATATTTCCTAGACCACTGTAAAGTAATAAAGCTAAAATCAATATTATCCTTTAACATCAGTTTCTCCAAAAACGCATGATTTTTTTTATTAAATGAAATATATTGAAGAAGGCAATCAATCAATAATGCCTGACATGTATCGATTACATGGTACATGCATATATAAAAAAATCATGACGTCTTGGTCAATGATGTAAAAAACTGATAAAATATTTGTAGGAACGTTGTTATTGTCCGTTGATGTTCTTCCAAAAATTTAACAGCATTTTCAGGAGTAAATTCTGTAAAAAATCTTTGTGTTTCTTGTAAAATAAAATATGAACCAAACGAATTAATGTGTTGTAAAGTTATATTTTTTGTTTTCCGATTATAATTCATTGTCCGTCTAATGTTACGTCACTTCCGTGCTGGCCGTGGTTGCACTGCGTACCGGAAATTAACACAGAGTAATTCGGATATCACATTCAGTTGAGTTTAGGTAATTAATTTAAGTGTTCTACCAAGCTAGGATCTGGGTATAAACTTGAGGACGAGTGGCCTGTCAGGGGTCATCACAGTGTTCAAAACGGGTTCGATTGGTTCGTGGTCGTATTCTATTTTGAAGTTCTGTACAATCTGTAATGTTGAAAAAAATAGAATTCAAACAGTGATTATAACAGCTTAATGTTAAATTACAAACCCAAAGACTAGAAAAGTTATTTTAAGCATAAATACGTAGATCAAAGAAGGCGATGCTATATGACTGCAAAAAATTCTTTAGCTAATTCATTTTTAGGGAAGTCTAATTTCTATAGAAGATCAGCAATTTCTAATCAAGGACAACATACCTTTGTTAGAATTATGTGTAGTTCTTGTTCGGCAAAACGTCTGCCTGAAAAGCGAAATAAAATCTTAGTACAAGATCATCAAGCAAAAGTAAAAATGATTAATGCTTAGATACATCCGCGTGCTTCAATTGAGCGTTTGTGCTAAACATAAACAGTAATTTAGAAACAGCTTCGAAAACTATCCAATTAACCAATTCTCTTAGACAATAAGTAGAAGTAGTATAGTAGTAGTGGTGGTGGTGGTGGTGATGATGATAATGATGATGATGATGATGATGATGATAATAAGTATACATTATTTCTGATGCGGTGTAACATAAAATTACCTATGCACATTCTTGCACCGTGACCCCAGATAAGATTTGATAGACTTTTAAGCTGTGCGTCCATCTTGTTTTCTCTCATCCATCTTTCTGGTTTGAATTGGTCATTTTCCGGAAATAAATTCTCATCCCGGAACATACCGAATAGATTGGCCTGTACGTGAGTCTGCAACAACAAAATATCATACTTATAAGCGGATCGCCAATAGCAGATTGTAGTGTGTATGGCATCTATAAGCTAATTTCTGGTATAACAGTAACTACAAACTATTTATTTTATCGAATACATTCCATGTACTGTATTCGATTCAGGATCAATTTGTGAGTTTTAAATCGCACATCGAAATGAGAAAATGAATTTTTAACATAATTAACAAGTTTAACTTGTGTGCAAATATTTAGATCATTCCGGCACCCCGTTTTTTCCAGAATAATAATTTTTCTTGTGCATTGAATGGCCTAAAATTGAAATATGTTGCGAAGTTTTTCACTCAAAGAACTACACTATCGATTTTCAATTCAATTATGGGTATATAATTATTTCTTCATAATCCTTTGCAGGGTTTTCCATTTTCTGTGTTTCGCTTGATCTATGTAAAAAAATCAAATTTTATGTTTTAGGCTTTTAGACTCCTTTAAGGCGATTTATTTGGGGGATGGGGTAGGGGCTTGGGTGTTTTTAGAACCCTGAATTTCCGTTGTTTCGCCATGTGCTAGGAGTTAAACAAACACTTACATTTGCTGGTATATGATGTCCTCCAATCTCCATATCTTCCTGTGTTATTCTACTGGTAGCCCACGTGATTGGGTAAGTTCTAAAATATAAAAGGTTATTTTTAGACATATAGCAACAGAGAAACCTAAATATATTTATGTTGCAAATTTCTTTTATGTATATATGCCAGTGTTTTAATGCAAAATCATTACAAATATAATATTCGCGGTGCCATTTTCATGGTTTCTGTTTATATCTAACATCCAACATTTTATTAGTTCGTCTGCTTGCATTTCATAACATGTATTTTCATTTTACTTTTTGGTAAAACAGACAATAAACGAATTAAAGAACCCACGAAAATTTCCTTTGTGACAAAACCTCGAAATTTCATGACCACGTGATCAGATGAATTTACAGTACTATATACATAATTTCTGACCATAACATTTAATAAATAAGTATAGCATAAAAACTAAGCTGTTGAATATTCCAATGTGAAGGATGAAATGTGAAAAACTGATGACGTCAATAGATAATGTAAGACGAGATATGGAAGTCATTTATTACATAATATATTGTGAAAGGTCTTAAATTTATTCATGGTTTATGTGTGAATGATACAAATCTCAAATATCAAACAGCTGGAAATATCGGTTAACAAGAGTGCCGTGATGGCCTTAGATTGCTCACCTAAAATCCATTGCGTGGGATGGGGGATACCACACGGGCAATAGTTATATAAATTTTGCAGAGATCCGCAATGCAATTAAATGGTACATGCCAAATATCTAATTTCTAGGTTATATGGTTCCAAACAAGGAGATATAAATGAGTGTTCGTATTCAAGACTGTGTAAACATGAGATTTCTGTATATAAAACAAACCCAGTTCAGACCTCAGTTTTATAATTTGAAGTAACTTAACACTTTCATTATAAAATGCTCCCACAAACCATCTAAGAGGATTCCTTTCATAAAATCTATTATTAGCTTCTGTTTCCCAGAAATGCAATGGATCGGTGCAATTCGAACAACTTATAGTTTCATCTAAAGAACTCATCAGCAATTGTTGTAATATTTGGCTCAGAAGCAACAGAGAAGGTGTCATTTGAAACAATTTTAAACCCAATCTCATTGAAATCATATCCTAACTGTCGTTCCATGTAGGGCGAATAGTATCGGAGTGAAAACTATGATCAGACACGGTACTTTTAAAAAAGAACACATGAGTACTGCAATTTCAGATAAGTTTTAAAACATGTCAAGATTTAGCATACCTAAACGTTTCTTTAATGAACGCTTTAACGTATGTGAGATTGGAAATATTTTCAGGATTTATTTCAGTGCTGTCTCCTACAGTATTCATTGTCTCTTGGTAAAGTTTTTCCTGAACTTCTGGGTGTTTTGCCAACGAGTATAAGCTCCACAACATTGCATTTGATGTCTGAAATAAAGTGATGTAAGGTATGATCTACCTAATGCATTACCTCCACTTTGAAGATTATTCAAATAGGCTAGAACTATTGTAAATGAGGGGCGTGGGTTCAAGCCCCAGAAGCGGCAATTTTTTTTTTCATTCTTTTTTTTTAATGAATTAATACATTTATATGAAAATATTTAAACATGTATTAAAGCAGAAAAATTTGCGTAACTTTAGTTGAAGATATTTTGCTAATAATAAAAAAAACAAGTCTTGTTTTTTTCCCCTCTCAATGATGACTTCAATACATTGCCTTCGACTCTGACACTAGCACAATTGACTGAAAAGTGATGATGTTTCACAGTCAGGCCTAGCAATAAAGCTGGCAGTTTTAATGTTATTAAATAAGCAAAGTTTAAGACCGCTCATTTCCTACTTGTGTTTTGTTTCGATTTGAGCCGCGTCATGACAAAACCAACATAATGGGTTTGCGACCAGCATGGATCCAGACCAGCCTGCGCATCCGCGCAGTCTGATCAGGATCCATGCTGTTCGCTATCAGTTTCTCTACTTGTAATAGGGTTTGTAAGCGAACAGCATGGATCCTGATCAGACTGCGCGGATGCGCAGGCTGGTCTGGATCCATGCTGGTCGCAAATGCACTATGTTGGTTTTGTCGTGACGCAGCTCATTTATTCTCTAGATTCGTGATATAGTGTTTCTTACGGTTTCAGTGGCGGCCGTTAGGAGGTCAACACATGTAGAAACAGCCTCGTCTTTTGTTAATGATTTCTGCGATAACATGTAGGTAAGAAACGGGACACTTTCTGACTCATCGCCCTCTAGCCCTTGTGTAGTTGATAAATCTTTTACTTTCTGAAAAGACACATTATTTTGTCTATATAATTATTATGTTTGATACCTTTTTAAAATACATCTTTCAAAAGTCTTTAACCGGTACATGTATGTAATGCTAATTATTAGTTCATTAAGTCTACAGTTTTGGGGTTTGGGTGTTTCCGAGATTTTGTTTTAAAAGATATAATCTTTTTTACTCTTGGTAAAAACATCAGTACCACATTGGTAATAACATAAATACCGGTTCTACAATATCTTTAATTGATTATTTCTTATATATGTCAATATTATATGATGATTATCTACTTCACAAAGTTTTAACCTCCAACTTTGTGAAGTAGATAATTATTATTCTATTATATGAAACGCAAGTTATTCCCATTTTAAAACAATGAAGCAGAATTTATACACGTCTCATAAAAACGTGTACGCTACCTTTTCAATGAAGTAATGGCCAAGTTCGAAAACTTTATCTGCGTGGAATTCGAACTTTTTCCACAGTTTCGTGCGGTATATTCTGTATAAAGGTACGTTGTACATAAGTGGTTGTAAATATTTGAAGAATTCTTGTAGATGATCGATGAATTCTTTTGCATGTTTTGGTGTGGGGTCTGAGAAACACCCGACACGTTCCTCAAACAAAAATGTACCAATTGCTGAAAATTAGAAAATTTGTTTCATTAATTTTAACGTAAATAATTCAGAAAAATGCCGAGAGGCTTTTATGACATCAAATGTAAACGCTATCAGGGAAAAATGCTGAAATTCATGTTTTTTCTAATAAAAATGTTATAGATGCATTAACTATTTTGAGAGCGAAATAAATGATAGCGTCACACCGAGGTTTGATTATGTACATGTATATTATCTGCTAAACGAAAAACGAAAAAGAAAATGCCCTGTTTTAGTTTCAAAGAATTCATCTCTTGTAAAATTATATGCCAAAATTATTTGACTCAACATAAGTGTTTGCATAATTTGTACAAGTAAATTGCAACATGTTAAAACGTAAAATTTAAAATATGAATTTCATTTGAATTACTTAAGGTTATATAATATAATATTTATCGATATAAACTTACATTCAAATGCCCATTTAAACAACTCCTTTTCTAAACCAACAATTTCATTGTTTTCTTGTCTCACAGATTTCAGATGGTCAACAAAGTCATTCCCTACATGGCTCATGGGAACACAGAAGTCCAGTGCTTCTTTCATTTTCAGCAATTTTGGGGCGGTGACGGTTCTTAACTTGTACCATTCTTCCCCTTGACTAAAACGTATAAAACAATAATATTACATACGATGTTCATGTTTCCATTTCGATATATAAAATCGAACGGGACATTGTTGCATTTAATTAACTGTAAGTTTAGTAAATGGTTAGCTTATAGGGCGCGAAGGTCAATTTGAATGACACATCTATAATTTTACGTTTCAAGTCATATAATCGGCGGTGTCATAGTGTTGTTAATTGAGGTAATGGAACATTAGGACATCAAATGACAGTTTCAATTCCTATATTCCTAAGGAAAATTTTCATTTGAGACAAAATGTTTACACTTACTCATTGACCAAACCAAGACCTAGCCCTTTTTGTTCTCTATAGTATGCAATAGGTTCCATCGGGCGGCGTTGTGGGTATTTTCCCTCAGAGCGAATCACTTTGCTGTATTCTTCTGGATCACTTATAACAACAGTGTTTATTGTTGCGATCTTTTCTTTGTAAATAGGACCGAAGTCTATAGCTCTTTTTTGATAAGCCTAAAAAATCATATTGAATGCGGACAGTATGTACAAAAGACTTTTTTCCTATTTCTACTTTAATAACATATAAAATTGTCATGGCAAAATACTTCGAGTAGAGTCTATAAAAAACTATTAATACTTTAATTTTGCACGTGCGAATTAATTTTGAAATATGATGATGATGATTATGACGATGACAACGACGATGATGACGACGATGATGGTGATGATGATCAGTCATTAAGTAAAGAAACAACCGTGATGAAGAGGCATCAATAAAATTTGCGTTCATTAATAATGTCTGAGCTGGAAGACAATACCAACCTCGTGCATTTTACTGAATTTTAGACCGTCTTTCTTCAAGTAATCGAATAACGTGCCTACGATTGGAAGCCCTTTGGGTCCAGGGATGCTTTCAAAGCTCTTAGATTCGGTTTTTTCCTTTGATACATGTATAGGCTCATCTATTTGGTTTCTCCAGGGAAGCATTGCCTCGTCTACTGTTTGAATTGTTTTATGGAAGGGACACTGTAATATAATAAAGTTCACTATTTCATATCAGATGAATGAAAACCATACAAGAACTTCAGTATTGTAATTAAATGAGGAAATTTAGTTTAAGTAAACAAAAAAAGTGTATTAATGTGACCATGATGCGCAGTATGCACAATAAACTTACAAAGATGCGCAATAAAATCACCAAGATGCGCAGTAAGATTATCAAGATGCGCACGCAATAAAAATAAATTACAAAGATGCGCAGTAAAAAAAATGCGCACTAAAGATGCGCAATAAAATCAATCTAGATACACAGTAAAATTACTAAGGGGGCAGGGGACATATTCGAATGATGGCCCCGGTCAAATTTTTTAATAACTCAGACATGGTGTTTTGAAGGTACTGATAACTTCTGATATTTCTCTGTCATTGTAATTCTCTCTTGTTTGTGTGTAGGAAATGAGATATATTTTTGGGTTTTTACCCGAAACTAAGCATTTTGGTAGCTTTGTATGTATTTCTGACTCTCCGAATGGAGGTGAAAAAGTTAAAAATCAAGCTTTGACAGTTGGCGCCAAACAAGTAAGAAATTTCAGATAAATTTTGTGAAAAATCTAAACGTATGACAGACACTTTATTTGTCATTTCTGAAAATGCCATAGCTTGCACTGCGTGTTACTGATATTTTTAAAGGAATCGGGCGGATTCTGGAGTATGCTGCACCTTCATGAAGATTGCCTATATTGGTACATTTTAGGTGTGATTTTGGCTGGGTGGGGGTAAATATAAATTGCTGTCAGTCATTTTTTGAAGGAGCAATGCATGCAAACTTATATTTTCTTCAATGTATGTCATATATCATTGAATAATGCTGTGCAACTGGTTATCTGCCTGTGAAACAGATTTTGAAATATTTGGAATTGTGTTTCTGGTCACACTGAAATACAAAATTTTTCATTTTTAGGTCCCCTGCCCCCTAAGATGCGCAGTAAAAATAACAAAGATGATAATTGCAAGCATTTGCGATAATGCAAAAGGCAATGTGATAAATAATTAAACTTGTGAAATAACGCATTCAAAATCGAATTTTGTTCATTTATTTATCTACTTAGGGTTATGTTCACAGACATATAATAAATGTGGGTCTGTTAAACAATTTATTATCAAGATTGTCATGTATACATTTTGTGAATGTTTCAGTTTTCTGACAGACTGTTTGGTATATCGACAACTTTGTGGCAAAAAGTCGTCATCACAAATGTTCAGAATTAACACAACCCACGCATATTGATCACACTTAGTACTCAACAACACTGTCTAATTTCAAGATCATTATATGGCAGCAAAATATATTAACTTTTAAAACATAGAAAAAGTAGAATATTTACTAAAGTTTTTTTTCAATTTTCCAAATTTTTACAAATCGGTAAAATAAAATTATAGTGCAATTAAAGCTATTGGTCCTTGTCACTTAGTGATCGTATTGAGTCCTAGGGTTAGATACATACGAACACAAAAAATATTATTTTAATTATAAAAAGTTTTAACATGTTATATGGCCATTTATCACATACTTGTGCCGATTTTGCGACTCCATAGCATTGCATGGCTGTGAATATATTTTGACGTGACGTCAATTGCGTTTTAATACAAACATAGTGTAAAGAAGCGATAAATGTACGCGTTACACTATCGGTGCGTCAATGAAAAGTGATTCTTTTGCACTTTAAACAGCCTTGATTTTGGGTATGTGATAAATAGAAAATTATTTCTATGTAGGTTTATGAATTGATTATTTGAAGTTGTTGAATAAATAGAGGATATTGAATGAGTGTAAGTTTAATACTGAATTTATTGAAAGAGTTGAAAAAAAAAAATATTATGCTAGCCTCCGGCGAACATAATATTCCTTCATTCAACGAGGTGAATAATTTTTGTATTAAACTTACACGAATGTAATATTTTATTTATCACATATCCAAAATAAAAACTGTTTAAATGAAAAAGTAACATTTTCCATTGACGCGCCAATACTGTAATACAAACATTTTACTTTATATGTTTGTAGAACGCAAATGACGTCACGTCAAAATATATGCACGGCCGTGCAATACCGTTTTTACGGAGCCGCAAGATGTGATGAAATAATATTTTGCTCGCATGATACACTTTAATTCAACTCTTTCAATAAATTCAATACATGTATTTGTGAGCGCCTCTGTGGTCGAGGGGTTAGAGTCGATGACTTCTAATCCATTGACCTCTCTGGTGTGGGTTCGATCCCCAGGAGATGCCTTGGTAGTTTGGCGCGAAGGAAATGGGTCTTGTACTGGTTCTTCCCAGGAACGATGGTTAGGAAACTACCCGCCCGTATGACTGAAATACTGTTGAAAAGGGCGTAAAATGAAACAAACCAACAAACAAACAAATTCAGTATTGAACTATCCTCTATATAGCATGACTTACTGTTGATGCGACAGTTCGGTCTAGAGCGATTGTGTTTGATGATTTCTGTGATGATGAAGTTGACACCACTCTGCTCACAACGTTTGGTTGCATTACTTTCAAAAGCATTCCGGTTCTTGTTGCTGCCATTTTCTTTATTTTTGTTTCGTTTTACCTTGTTTCTTTCGTTTAATAGACGTTTCTTAGTAAGTTATGTTTTTGCCTGAAAAAAGCAATTTCAACGTCAAAAAAAATCGAAACAATCTGGACCGGACTTAAGCTATAGATTGGATAAATGCTATGCTGCAATTCGCGGCTTAAAGGCACTCTTAAATAGTACCTTTAAAGTACTTTACTTATATTTGATAGTTTCACTATGATAAAGCTTCAGGAGTTGTTGTTGTTTTGTTGTTGTTTTTGTTGTTGTTGTTGTCGATGATGATGATGATGATGTTGTTGTTTGTTTTTTTTTGTTGTTTTTGTTGTGTGTGTTTTTTTTGTTTTTGTTTTTTTTCGAGTTTAACCTGAGTCACAGGCTGATGTGCAAAATGACCTTTGGATATCTTACTGCAACACCAACTACTGACCTATATACCCGGTCGCGTGTAACTTGGATACAGTTCTATATACCGTGACTTAAAAGAAAATCTGTCGTTCGCATTAGCGAACAAGCTAACATAAATGTAAAATTTTCGTCCGCTTAATGATATGTTATAAATAATTATTATATATATTCAATAAAGTTATTTTTGGAAACAAATGAAGCACTGAATTGATTTCATCTTTTAAAAAACATCAATATTATGCTAATCCTAATCTACTTATCATATATTTCTATTCATGGTTTAAATTAGACATCTTAAGTAGTCTTTACAAAGGCTTTATCGTGTAAAATTAAAACGGCTATATTTAAATCCTTATCAAGATATTACCCTATTAACATTTAAACACGGAGTGACGTCAAACTGAAAATATATAAAAACTATTAAAGAAAACCGGGGGGTATGACGTATCAGTTGCCAATTTTGACAATCTCATTCAAATATATTTTAAAAAAGATTTTTAAATAGTATTTTAAAGATTATGGGGCACCGTTTTGAATGCGGTAAACAAAAATTTAAATAAGTACAATAGGCGTTAGCATAAATATTTAAGTATCTCCCCCGCACAGTGTCAAATGATGTTTTAGAAATAAATGATAAATGAATACGTTGCAAAAATAGTTTGCGGGTCATGGAAACCGGGTTGGTCTATGTGACGTCAGTACAGCGTGCTGATTTTCACACGATTGTATGTACTGTATGTAATTACAAACAATTATACGGGTTTACATATTTATTCTTATTCTGTTTTTATCTGATTTGCTAAGGCTTTGATCAATTGTTGATTCGTTCTATAAAATTTTGTTTGACAGAAAATATCTGCCTTAAATTGCTGTAACTTGAGAAAAGTTATAACGTATGTTTTTTTTTTTTGTTTTTTGTTTTTTTTGTTATTATTATTTCATTTGATTTTATTCCATTAAATCTTTCATTTCATTTCATTTCATTTCCCTGCTTTATTTTTTTTTTAAACTCTTTTTATTTTCATGTCCTTTCTGTAAGCCTGTACGTTGCGATATATGCATGTTGCTTCTTTTGCATTTTGGCATTAAGTACAGTTATAGCAATTTAGTATTTTACAGATATACCGATTAAATGAGCATTTGTATGAAAGTCGAAATACTATTCTGTTTACATTACAAATTATTTATTATCAGCGCTATTTTCCTTCCTCATCTGTTCTAAATCAATTATTACAACATTATAAAAGACAGGTTTGCCATTTCTACAAAAAGGAAGATGTTTTAATCCCTTAAGCTCACTGCACCTTTAAATCTATGACCGCATTGCCATTGCCGACAGAACAGTTTGAACAGTTTATTGAAAAAAACTGGGCCTCTTAGAGGCATCAGTCACATATACTCGAAACATCTCAGACTCGAAGACTGACGGAGTGGGCCGAGAAGTTGCCAATGCATAATTAAATCGTTGTGATCTTACCGATAAAATATCGCTGGATATTCAAATTAATATATTGCATGTCAACATGGTTAACAATATTAAACATAATCCTGTAATCTGGGGTAACAATAAACAAAGATCACTAAGTTGTAAGAACAAAGTAATAAATATTTACAAACAACGTTAGAAACGGCTATTTAACCTTATTAAATATATCATAATTATATAATCTCTATGGATTGCAAGTAAGATATCACAATAAAACAAATAAAAACCTAAAATGGAATTTATGCATTTCATCAGTCGTGAAAAAAAAAGTTTATCTTTATCAGTAATCTATAAACATATCACGTGAAGCTATTACGTAATATATATGTATTACGAAATAGGGCTTTGTTATCGTTTTACAACCTTCTACTAGTATAATATGTTAATTGCAAAATATGACTAACTGTATATCACTGTAATACAAATGTTACTCTGCTCATCTGACATGACTAGTCATGGTTTAGTTATCCTTTAACATTTAAATTCCGGCCACCACACCGGAATGCAGGTGACAGGTTCGATTCCTGACCAACTACAAATTAAAGGGACTCCACTGAGGTTTTTTTGACATGACGGGACTGGAAATATTTTTTTTAAAATTATTACTCCATCTGATGTGGATTAGGTTAATACAAAATTATGGAAAAATTTCAATCTTATCGCTTGTTTTTCCCAAAATTTGTTTTAATTGTAAAAATTTGTAAAATTGAAAAGCTTTTAAAGCCTTTTAAAACTTAAATGGGACTGAGAAAACCAAACATTACTTTTTCAGGATTTCAAGGTATTTTTTCTAAAATTATTTTTATAAACCTTTTTTGGGGACAAAATGACAAGGGGGAAAATTAAAATTTTATGGTTTTAGGTTATTTAAACTTCTTTGGAGTTCCAAAATATTATTATTATTATTTTATTATTTCGGGGAATTGTTTCAATTTAAAAAATAATAAAAAATGTTTTAAAAAATCAATCAGATTTATATTTTTAAATTTAATGAGGGACTTGAAACTGTAGTAAATGTACGTTTCGTGTCAGGACAGTTTTACGAAGAGCGCTTGTATATACCAAGGGGGTCACTCACTCCCGTTTCTGCCTGTTATTTGTAAAAACAATAAAAATTAAAAAAACTATTTAATTTCTCTATAGATTTTTTTAAAAAAATGTAAAAAATTTGAATAAGGGTTAAACGTTAAAAATTTTATCATATAATTTTTTAAAGGGTCCACGCTTTTTTTACGTTCGGGGCTGGGAAAATTTTCCGGATTGGGTTTTCAATTTATGAAGGGTTAAAACAAAAAAAATTTTTGTGCAAATTTTTTAGTTCTGCCTCATTTGTTGTCCCGAACAATCAATTCAAAATACCCGAAAAATGAAAGCGTGGCAACGCTTTTTTACTCAAATCCGGCCTTTAGAATAGCACAGAAAATCACAAACATTTTTTTTTTTTTTATTCTTTTTTTCTTTGCAGAGTTTTTCCCTTTTAAGGGTTGTTTTTTTAACTTTTTGAAGGATTGGGCCCCAGGGGGGTCCCTTTTAAACAAGTGGAGTTCCTTTAAGACATTATTTAAGCTATCATTGCGGAAAAAAATGCCTTGCTTATTTTTGTATTGTCAGACTTTGAACTGAAGCTGATGGTGATAGAGCGAAAAATATCACTTTCTTAATTGAAAAAAAAGATATTTCTGATACTTTATTCTAAAACATTAAATCGAAGCGTATATATGTTTTCTTCTTGAATATATATAATTTATATGTTTTTTTATGAATCTGTTATCTTTTTCGTAGGAGAAACAAGGATCAAAGGAATTGATTTTCTTTTACATAAGTAAATGAAATACATTTAACTCATACAGAAGAGTGGCATAAAATCTAAATTTTACTTTCCAAACACCATAACTATTTGAACAGTCCGACCGAACATTCGTTGTTTCCTTCTTTTCTTAGTCAAAAGAGAGGTTAATTGTCAAAAAGTGAGGTTAAATTGTCAATAGATAGGTTGATTGTCCATAATGAGGTTAAAATTGTCAATAGTGAGGTTAAAATTGTCAATAGTGAGGTTAATTGTTTAAAAGTGCGTTGAATTGTCAAAAGTAAGGATAATTGTTAAAAGCGCGTTGAATTGTCAAAAGTAAAGATAATTGTTAAAAGTACGTTGAATTGTCAAAAGTAAGGTTAATTGTTTAAAAGTGCGTTGAATTGTCAAAAGTAAGGATAATTGTTTAAAGTGCGTTGAATTGTCAAAAGTAAGGTTAATTGTTGTTAAAAGTGCGTTGAATTGTCAAAAGTAAGGATAATTGTTAAAAGTGCGTTGAATTGTCAAAAGTAAGGTTATTTGTTAAAAGTGCGTTGAATTGTCAATAGTGAAGTCAATCGTAACAAGAGCGTTTAATTTTCAATAGTGAGATTTAATATCAATATAGTGGTGAATCGGTAAAAGTGAGGTTCATATCTATCATTTTTCTTCTTATGTTTGAAAAAATATGCCTTAATGAAATCCTACCATATGTTTCAAACAAATATATCGCCAGAGAATGCATGGATTATGCTATAAATAAAATATTAATACTAAATACTAATATTCTTTTTATTTTAGAGCGTTACTAGTTACCGATACGCACACGCTTTTGCAGAACAAACCATAATGTTTATCTCATTCACATAACAATAGACATACCAATATACCGTATTAGACGGTAACAACCGTATTAGACGGTAACAACCTATTGTGCATCAGATCATTAAATAATAAATAAAAATTAGATAATATAAAGAGAAAAAAAAACCATCTCTCTTACCTTAAAGTGAATCTTGGGGAATTCGTTTCTTATTTTTTAAAATTTAGTCCTTTTCTTTATTTCTGATAAAGTTACTTTTACTTTAAATTTATTTTCCTAAATTCTTTTTTTCCCCAAGTTCTTAGCGGGTCCAGCCCTGTTTTGTCTTCTGGCGGAATGCACGGTAAATTTTGTCTGCAAGCGAATTTATATCTGGGGAAGTTGATTTAAACAGCGCATGCGCGTTATCGGTCACATGAGGACTCGATTGTTGTACGCTGCGTTGTATATTATAGTATTAAAATATATTTTTGTAAGCTCGAGGTTATTTTATAGGTCACATTAAATGAAGGTTTTCGCAATACCCACATGACATCTACCCACATAAAACTTTCTTTTAACGTTCGTGAAGAAGTAAAAGGAATATATATATAGGTTAATAAATGTGTTAAATTATTGGTTATATTGAAATCGTTTTAAGTATAAATATTTGGTAAGGTTATTCTTTATTGTTCTTATCATTATTATTATTGTTGTTGTCGATAATACGCTGATGTGTTTCGTAAAATCTTCTATTTTTCACGGAAATAAACTCACTAATAAGTGATAAGGTTCACTAAGCAAAGCAAAAAAAAAAAAAAAAAAAAGAAACATCACCAGCTTATGCCATTTCAAGTCCATTATTAGGTTTGTATTTTATAAAATAAAGCATTATTGTGAGAATTCTTTGAGTATATGTAATCTAAATCTAAAACTTCTGCTAACCATCCCGTGCTTAAATTGAACTATTATAATAAAAAATCTTTAAAGATCCTGTATCACAATTTTTTTATGGTTTTATATCTCAAATTAAGATTTATCAATTTTGTAAGTTCCAAAAGGCATTATTTATAAATATATTACCGAATTTAAGTATCGGTAGCAACGTTATATTAAGCCATTCCAGCTTATATAATTTATATACATTTTAGATATTGAATTGATCAAGTTTATTTTTACTAAGCATTCGCAGTATTGCATATCATGTTTGCATATACCATGTATTTTTTTTACATGTTTGATGAAACGTGATGTATAGCCGTGCCTGTTTTATTTGAAGATATGACTAACAATTTACACCAAGGTCAATATCATTATATATAGGCTACATCGCGTTGGTCCCATATTGAGTTCATTGATGTAAAAAGAATGAAACGTTATTTTGCAATGACATATTTCTAAAAATATATATAGTAATTGCCATACGGGGTATCAGGTGTATTATACTGTCTGCGGATTGTAAAAAATATTTTTTATATTGTTACAGAATACTAAGGATAAAAGAAATTTTTTCAGTAAACCTTTTTTTGGGGAAACGAGTTGAAAATGGTGTGGGAATTTATCCCAAAACATAATAAAAAAATAGCAGCAGATTTTTTGTTCCCCTTACGTAAAATTTTTTTCCAATTTTGGGGAAAAATTTTAAAATTTAAATTTTAAAATCTTTGTTACAAATCTTTCTAAAGGCCATGAAAACAGGAAAATTTAAGTGTTTTAGAATTGTTTTATAAAATTTTCATCAGATATAGCTTTTTACACTTTATGAGTTTCAATGTTCTGGTAATCCAGGCAACGTAAATAAGAATTCAATTCAGCCACATTGCTAAATTCCTTCTTTTTTTTTCATCAAACACAAACAAATCTTATTTCGTCATAAAGCAATATGTTGCCTAAACTATCCAAAGTGAATCGAATTAACTTGGCCAAATTTAAGTCATTTTCAATTGTGATGCAATTTCTTTTTTGTGTTTTTTTTACATTCAGAACATCTTTTTACACATACATGTTTATGATATAAGTAAAAAAAATGCAGTTTGATGAAAAAAAAAGAAAAAGAAAAAAAAAAGTTTGAGGAAAAGAGCTGAAAAGTTGCGAGTAAGTTTAAAAACTGAAATGTAGGTTTTTTGATCTGGGATAAGAATGTCGCTTCGAATTTTTGTGTTGCTGTTGTGGTTTTCGCAATTACACTAAGATTTCTTTTTATTCAGTATCATATTTAAATCCTTGCCTATAAGTCCTCTACCGATTTCACCGAAGGCCCTGTCTGGTATTCCGTTTTGCCCGGGAAATCTGAAACCGGCCCTAATTAAAAAAAACAAAGGGGGAGGTGATGATAAATTGGTATGTTGAAGAAAAAACAAACAGTGGGTTATGTTTTCAGTTTATTTATTTTTATCTGAGAAAAGAAAATGCGTTTGGTATGGTTACGGAAATGAAAAAAAAAACATGAACACATGTAGTTTCGAACGGACGGACGGACACACGGACGGACGGAATACGAACATCATGAAGTCATATAAGTTAAAACAAGGCAATCAGATCCCTATTGGTATGGAACGGGAATAAAAAAACACAAGGAACACAAGTAGATCCTTACAGACGGACGGACAACGATTATCAGAAGGTCATATAGAGTTTAAACAAGGACTTCATTTTTTTAAAGTTCTCTACCCCATCCACCTTATCTTTTTACATGTACAATAACAGCAACCATGTCTCAAGGTTATTTTTTCTGAGTTCTGTCTCAAATCTCATGATTTTCATTGGCTAGTGTACATTCTTTGGTAATTTCTGACCAATCAAATGCCTGAGATTTTTTATGAGTGTGAGCTATGGGAAATTTTTATAGCCTTGGACAATTATAAAATAAATTACTCTACTGTAGTCATTCTTACTTTTATGTATTGTACTTTATATGATATTTTGAAATACCAAAAATGTGAACGAAATATTTGGGGTAATGTTAATATTTTGAAATATCCAAAATGTGAACGAAATATTTGGAGTAATGTTATCGGGTACATTTTACTTTAGATTTACTACCATTCATAGATTTAAAACATGACTAATTGTCAACAGACACGGTGAAAAACTAGGTATTTTGTGTCTATATTTGGGTATGATTATTTGCTTGTTTGAAAAGATTATAAGCGAATTATGCTGATAGTATAACTGAGATAAAGAAAATACTAGGTTAAATTGTACACCTGTACATAATGATTATTTTTAGACAATAAATAATGAATAAAGATTATTTATTTCACTTTTACTTAGCTAGTATATTATTAGTTACAATTAAAGACTTTGACATAATATATACGACTGTTTATATATACTAAAAATAACCGTTTGCATACGACCATGTAACAATCTTTTTAACAAATTTATAATACAGCAAACATTCTTTATTAAAGGAAAAATACAATGACAACGTAATTAATAAATAGGCAGCAAGCGTGTATATAATTTATAGTAAAGTCACGACTATCCAATGAAAATTGACGTTACAAACGTGCAGTATTATTAAATAATAAAAACGTTTTCATAAAAAGATTATGTCATATTTAAACTTTGTAAGCATCTTCACAAAATTTACGAATAAAATACATATTAATAGATGTCATCTTGAATAAAAAATTCAAGCCAAGCCTTATATGGATGACTAAAAAAGTATTTGTGTACAATGAGTAACTTTTTGGATACTATAAAAGTATCCCAAAATTAAAAAGCTTTTGAGAAATAAAAATAAAAGCATTTATGAGGCATAATATATATTTCTATTTACATCTTCGAGTAAATTATAACAGAAAGTATGTGCGGAACATGTTTTGTGTGTGAAACATTTGAGCCGCGTCCCGACAAAAGCAACATAATGGGTTTGCGACCAGCATGGATACAGACCAGCCTGCGCATCCGCGCAGTCTGATCAGGATCCATGCTGCTCGCTATCAGTTTCTTAACTTGTTATAGGGTCTGTAAGCGAACAGCATGGATCCTGATCAGACTGCGCGGATGCGCAGGCTGGTCTGGATCCATGCTGGTCGCAAACACATTATGTTGGTTTTGTCATGACGCGGCTCATTTATCTTTTTAGCATCAGCTGTCAGTTTTCTGGTTAGCGTGTTGGAATCGTCAGATCACCTGTCCATATTTCCGGCCGAAGGCTGGTCTCTTTCAGTTCGACTTCCTGTAAAATTTACAGGGAATAACTGAATATAAGAACAGTTTGCATTGGTAATTTTGAAATTACAAAATGCAATCTGGGAATCTCATTGGCCATTCTAAAATAAGATGTAAAGGATAGTTTTTGTCATTCTAAAATAGTTATAAACTAAACTGTAAAGAATAGTTCTTGCCATTATGAAGTAAAATGTAAAGGATAGTTCTAAAATAAACTTACAGGATAGTCTAGTTGAATGCTCAGATATTTAAGTTCTGTTTTACAATACATTTTACAAGATTAATAACCCTAAAAGAAATTATTATATCATTCTTATGAAAACTTTGCTAACATTCCTATATGACTTTGCATGGAAAACTAAGAACTAACATATGCAAGTTAACCAGTTTTACTTCGGTCGAGTATCTTTTTTAAAGATACTTCTTGTTTTAAAATCACGCCTTTTACTGCCGAAAACCTAGGAGCATCCGAATTGCAAATAAACCTAATTGATAGGCCCGTACTTTAAATTGTTAAAGCGTTCGGTTGTTATAGTTTTTCTTCATTTTCTGCCTTCCTCGTCATGACATGTCGTCATAACTTCAAACTTTGGACATAAATTATTAACGTTAATTGATAATCTATGGTCAATTAATATACTTGTGTATTTACTTTTTTAATGAAGTTATACTTGTTTTAACACACGAGACTGTACTTGCGGGTATTAGTCAGTTAATGTATTTTTGTGCGCCAGTTTATATAAAACGCGGGAGAAATGAACAAATGAACAAGATGACATATATCTATAAGCTATTTTATATTTTAGAGCATATGTAATAAAAACATCACGTTGCCACAAAATCGTACAGACACAGTGACGTTCACGTAACCTTGGAGTTCATTTGGTGAGAGTGATCAACATTCGTATACACAGAATACCGTACTTTTCCGTCTTGTAAAGGTCTCAAAAACTAGTTCAGACAATCCTTAACGTTTTAAGACTGAAACAAGAGAGACTGTTGTTATATCATAATATTATCAAACTCAATAGAATGCAGAAACACCAAAGGTGTGTCAGCTTGTGCGGACGTCACGTTTCACGGCATTTTCTGTCTCCAATATCGTTTCACAGAGTAACAAAATACATGTAGGTAAACAGCCGCAGTTAACACATAATGTTTCCATACATGGAGAATATCGGTATGGTCGGCTATAGT